TCCTCCTCGGGTTCAGCCCCCATCCCAAGTGAAGCCACCCCTTCCTGTCTGCAGCGCAGCGCGGCCTGAGCTTCTCCACAGCACTGATGAGCACACTTAATTCAATGAGCCACTAGAATGTGACTGAGAACAGAGACCTGTCTTGGTCACGTACCCCAAAACCCGCACGGGGCAAGTATACAGAAGGTGCTTCATAAGCCAGAGGCACAAGGCAGAGACAAGGGGAGGAGGTAGGGGCGGCCCACACCCGCCACACCAGTTTGTTCCTTGTCCCACCTTGTGGAACCTACCTACTGGTCCTTGGGGCAGACCGAGGCCTCTGTGGTTTCCCAGCAGCGTCCCCTGTGGGAGACACCCCCCTTGAGCCCTCCTGTCACCCTGCCTGCAGCACTGCTCATTGCCCACACCACCACCCTGAGACTCAGGAGAATCAGAGGTTCAAGAAGGAGCCAAGCCAACCTGTCCCCAGGTGTGGGCTCTTTTCCTAGCCCCAGCTTCTCCTTTCGATTTTCTCTTTCTTTCTTTTTTTGATATTTATTTTTTTTAGCGGCAGTTGGACACATACCTTTATTGCATTTATTTATTTTTATGTGGTGCTGAGGATCAAACCCTGGGCCTCGTACGTGCGAGGCCAAGTGCTCTACCATGAGCCCCAGCCCCAGCCCTCCTTTCAATTTTCATTTAATGTATTCTTATTTTACAAAGGAGGAGACTGAGGGTCAGAGTGGTTAAGCAGCCTGCCCCATGTTACGGCAGAGCTGGGGTTCAAATTCACACCCAAATCCAGGACCAGCTTTCCCTCCAAGCGTTCTTAGCCAAACCAAGACAGAAGGCTACTCACGTGAAGAATGGCGTTTCATGGTGCCCTGTGGACAAACGAGGCAGCGTCAGGCACAGGTGCATCCAGCCGGCCCTGCCGCACACCCAGAGCAACCCTCCCACACCTCACCCCTGGGCCTGGAGGTAGGATGAGGCTGCCCGCTGTGGCCCTGAGCTGTGCCGCCGCAGCCTCGGGGTTACAGGATGGAGCCCGGGCTGGCGCGGGCTTGATGTGCACGTGGAACTTCCGAGGCTCCTCGTCGTCAAAGTCAGAGTCACTAGAGGAGAAGCGAGAAGGCTCGGCCGTGCTTAGGCCTCAGTCAAGGAGCCAAGCAGATCCCAGCAGCCCTCAGATCCCACCCTGTCCCTCCTGCTCAAACGTAAAGAGACCCCGCACAGTCCCTCTGCTCACACTGCCTGGCAAACTCCTATTCAGCTGCAAAACCTCAACACTGGTGCCCCTTCCTCCAGGAAGCCCTTGGACTCTCCTTCTGGGACAATCCAACCGCCTCTCTCACTCTTGCCCGTCCCTGACCCCACAGAACAGCTGTTTACATCTGGACCGGTTCCCTCCACGGCGGAGGCCCTATCCAGGGTGGACACGGGGCGGTTGCTAGTGGCAGCCTGGACAGAGCTTTGTCCCTGCTGTGCCAACAGTGGTTCCCAGGGACATCAGAAGGATATTGTTCTGGGTCACATCAGGTCGGACGGTGAAACCTTCTTCATCCACCTCTGGACACATCTGGGGGTGGAGAGTGACGAGGTGGGTCCCCCCGATTGAACTTTCCCCTCCAGGGCCTGGCTCTGACCCACACCTCCTGCCCCTTCCCCTGGTGTGTGGCAGGTTCCAGGGGCACGCTGAAGTGTCGTGGGGTGTCGGTCCCTCCCACGTGGCCCTCAGGTGGGATCTGAGCCCAGCCCCAAGCTGCACTCCCTGGGGTTCCCACCCCGCCCAGTTTCACCTGGGATTCAGGTGAGAACAGACCCCGCCCACCCGCAGTCAGCCCCTCCCAAGCCTCTCCCCGGCACTCACCCCTGAATCGGGTTCCAGGAAATCTCTGGGGAGGAAGGGGGAGGTGTCAGCGTCAGGGGCCCTGGGACCTGGGGCGCCTGAACTCCCCGCCTAGGCCAGCCCCGGGGCCCGTGGGACCTGGGGCTTGCTCACGGTGGGGAGTCTGGAGTCAGCCAGGGAAGGGAGGCCGCTGGAGCTGGACTTCAGGGCTGGCCTCCTGGACCGGCCGGGGCAGGGGTAATCCTTGGCCACCATGGGCCAGGAAGCCCCAGGCCTGGCCTTGGTGCATGGACAGACTCCAGCCAGGTTGGGCTTTGGCTCTGTGGCGCTACCCTGGGGCAGAGGTTCTCGTGGGCCAGCCTGGGAAGAGGGAGTCCTGGGCTAGCCTGGGACAGGGGCTACTCTGAGCTACCCACAGAGGTCAATGGGCAATACTGGGCTAGCCTGGGATAGGGAGACTCCTGAGTGGGGGATTTCTGGGCTAGCCTGGACCGGGACCAGGCGGCAGGGCCTTCCTCACATGGCGGCTCGAGGCTCCCGCTCCCGCCGGCTTAGTCCTGGAAGGCGGAAGGCCTTGGATCCCCGCAGGCGTTTCATTGCTGAGGACAGATGGAGGTGGCTGAGCGGGGCGGGTGCCCCCTTCCCAGGCAGGTCCCCCCCTCACCCGGCGGTCTAGCCTGGGCGACCAGGCCCAGACGTACTTGCCTTCCTGCAGCGCGGCCGCACTGTAGCTCTCGAAGTCCAGAGGTCCTGGGACAGGGAGGTGGAGGTGGGCGGGCCTGGCACGGGTCCGGCTTGGGCCCGCAGTCAGCCAGGTAGGTAAAAGCGGAACAGCCCAGCCAGGGCGTGGGCGGGTGGGCTCAGGGGCTGCTCTGCCACTGGCTGGGTGGTGCCACCTGAGCCATCTAGACACTTGCAGCATTTCCAGGTGGAACTTGGGTTGGGTCAGGGGATGGACAAGATGGGCCTGGACACCCAGAGGAGGAGCCGGGGACTCTCCCAAGATGATGGGGAGCCAAGGGGCGAGTGAGAGGGCGGCAGACCTGGGGCCAATCAAGGGCAAGAATGGGGGGCCACATAAGGAGGGGCGGCCTGAGCAGGGCCTGAGCCACAGAGACGACAAGGAGGAAGGACAGGCCTCACTGGCTGAATAGACTTGGGGACAGTGACGTAGTAGTGGACAGATCACCGAGCACTGTGAGAATTACTGTGAGTATATTCTCATCCCCACTTTCCAGGTGAGGGAACTTAGAAGTGAAGACACATGTCCTAGGTCACACGGCCAGCAAGGAAGAAAGGACCCAGACCAGGTCTGATTCTCAAACTTGCCCTCAGCTCCTCTCAGCCCCCACATCTGGGCTTTTCCAAATTCGTCTTGTGCTCAACAACACTCAATAGCTCCCTGGGGCCCTTGGGGTGGAGTCTGAACTCCGAGCGTGGCTTTCTAGGCCTCTCTGGAATCTTCTAGACAGACACACCAGACCAGCCATCAAATTCTCTTCCTACCTGGGCTGGAAACTTGGAATTGTCACCAGCCATTTTTCTGATGAAGAAACCAAGGCCCAGTCTCCCGCCTCTTTCTCTGCAGCTGTGGCCCCCAGCCTGGCCGCCATCTCTGCCGACTCACCTGGCTTCTCCTGGCCCGTGCCCTTGCTCTCAGCAAACTTCCTGAGCAGCATCTCCACGGTGACGTTCTCTATGTTCTGCTTAAATTCCTCGTGCACCTGGGTGGGTGGGAGGGCAGGGTGTGTGACTGGCAGGGTCCTCTTGCCCAGCACGGGCCCCAGCCTCATCCTGCACACCAGCCGGCGTCACCTGCCCAATCTGCACGTGAGTGTCCTCCACCGAGTGTGCGTAGGAGCCCAGCAGCGCCTTCATGTGTCGCAGGTGGGTCTCCTCCATGGCTTGGAAGCGCTGAGGCAGGAAGAAAGGAGTGAATGGAAATGTAGAATGGCCATGTGACCAATCAGAACCTCCCAGCTCTCTGGCCTCAGTGATTGATTAGAGAAAGAACCAATGAAAGTCTGCCCTAGGACTTTAGCTGGAACTAGGAGAAAAGATGCTTCATTCCTGAGCCAAAGAGTTATTGGGATACAAATGGGGGCAGCTGGCAGCCACTTTTCTGTGTGCACACACTGTACATGTGAGTATGTGCACATGTGTACACACGCACACAAACACACACACATACACGCCGGCATGTCTAATGTCTGCCTGGGGATCAAGTTCCCAGGGAAGAAGACTGATTAGAGAATCAGAGAGACACAAGCTTTCTGCCAACACCATTTGGGCACCTGAATCCATCCATGCCTGAAGCCTCCACACCCCCTCAAAAAAATTCTTCAGTTCACTGACCCTAAAAAATTCATCCATTTAAATAAACATTTCTTTCTTTTTTGATATGGGGGATTGAACCCAGAAGTGATTAAGCCACATCCGCAGCCCCCCCCTTTTAATCTTCTTTAGAGTCAGAGATTCACTTAGTTGCTTAGGGCCTTGATAATTTGCTGAAGCTGGCTTTGAAATCACAATCCTCCTGTCTCAGCCTCCTGAATCACTGGGATTACAGGTGAAGGCCACCATGCCAGGCTTAAATAAAAGTTTCTATCACTTGCAACTTGAAAAAGAATTCTTATTCTGAGTCCTGAGATTCTAGTCTAGGTCCATGTGGGTAGATGGAGACCCAGAGAGGTGCAGTAAATTGCAAAATAACACAGCTCTTGAGGGACAGAGGCTGGGTGGCCTTCCAGCCACCAAGGAATCTCAGGAGATACTTGGCTTCTGAACTTTGCCCTTCTTCAAAAATCTCCCCAATGGAAATAATAATAACAGCCCAGGGCGTGGCTTCCGTGTCCCTGGTACTAGTCTGAAAACTTCAGAGTTGCTCATTTAACCTTCGCTGCTCTATGAGGCAGGCACTATTAGAGTCTCCGTTTTACAGATGGG